GGATATTCTTGCGTAATTCTTTTGTGTTTCACAAAATTCTACTTTAATTCACAAACGTCTGAAGATATATTGAAAGATTCTGCAGGATTTGTGCAGAATTCTGCACGTTTCGGTATAATTCCCGGAAATCTGTGACACTTCTGAGAATATGCGGTTGTCTTTCACAAATTTCAAATGTCGCTTTAATCCGCAAAATTATGAAAATATTATATGCAAATATCCTGCAGAATCCCAAAATATTTTCAGAATTTTGCGAATGAAAGCAAATTCTGAGCAATACAATTCTGTAAATTTCCTAACAACTGTCGCAGATTTCTGCGAATTATGCGAAAAAGTGCAGAATTTTGCCAAATCGTATCAGAGACTGCAAAATACGGTCAGAGTTTCGCGTAATAAAGTAGAATTTCGTGAATACAACAGAAATATGCAAGAATATTCTCAGAACCGTCAGAGATTTCTGGTAATTATGCAAAAACGTGCAGAAGTTTACCAAATCGCATCAGAAACTGCAAAATATGTTCAGAGTATCGCGAAATAAAACAGAGTTTGGTGAAATACAACAAAAATATGCTAGAATATTTTCAGAACTGTCAGAAATTTTCGCGAATTATGCCAAAGCGTGCGGAATTTTGTCAAATCATATCAGAATTTTTCGAAACCCTGCAAAATTTTAGCCAAACCGTATCAGAGTTTTAGACATTTGTTCAGAGTTTTGCGAATTAAAGCAGGCTTTTGTGAAATACAACACAGATATGTGAGAATATTCTCAGAGCCGTCCTAGATTTCTGGCAATTGTGCCGAAACGTGCAGAATTTACATAATCGTATCAGGATTATCGAAAATATTTTGAGAACTTTGCTAATTAAAGTGAAATTTAATGAAATACAAGAGAAATATGCAAGAATATTCTCAGAACTGTCACGGATTTCTGCGAACTATGCGGAAACGAGCAGAAGTGTGTCCGAATTCTCCAGACTTTTGCCAAATCGTATAAGAGATGGTAAAATACGGTCCGAGTTTCGCGAGATATATTATCGCTAAAGGATATTCTCACAACCGTCACAGATTTCCGGTAATTATGCTAAAGCGTGCAGAATTTTGTCAAATTTCGCAGAATGTTTCCGAATGGGATCAGAGTTTTATACAATACCAAATCCTACAGAATTTTGCTAAATCCGGCATAGTTTTGCCGAATCGTATCAGAATTTTTCCACATATTTTCACAATGTTTAGAATTAAAGCAGAATTTGGTGAAATACAACATAGTTATCCAAGAATATTCTCAGAACTGTCACAGATTTCTGGGGTTGAACCATTGAACAAACGTGTCACCAATGCATGTGTAACCCATAAACCTTATACTGTAGTCGTGAATATACCGCCGTCTCAGTGTTTTGTTGATTAATGAAACAATGGATATTGCACCTTCATGCGATATATTATTATTCGAAATATCCAGCTCTTCCAGTCTTGTATTGATCTTTAATGCATGAGTAATGGATGTTGCACCTTCATTCAATATATTATTATTCGAAATATTCAGCCGTTTCAGTGTTTTATTGATCTTTAATGCATCAGCAATGGATGTTGCACCTTCATTCAATATATTATTATTCGAAATATCCAGCTGTTCCAGTTTTGTGTTGATCTTCAATGTATTAGCGACTGTGCGGGCGTCTTTTGTTGATAAACCTTTGTTGGAGAAATCAGAGCTCTGGTCATTATCCAGATGATTTAGAACAGCTAAAGAAATACAATGTTTATAGTTTTCCATGTCAGATTGAACACTGATAATCTTAAACGCTGTTCCAGGAGGGAGGAGGACTTCCTCTTCCTGTGGGTAACATGAATATGATGAGATATCAAAGCCACCTCTGTCTGTCTTTGTCAGATCAATAACAAATAAGGTATTTCCAAATCGTTCTGCTTTATGACGATTTTTACTTGTTGAAGAAAATCCATACCAACACTTGTATTTACCAATGGCTTCTTTATAACATTCTATCATTTCTCGATCAAGCTCGGCACCACGATACACTTCCATTTTATATTGATTCTTAGAATCATTTGACCATGAATCGAATAAAAAGTAGCAGAATGGAGCGAGTGTGTCGACTTTAGTCTTATCATTTTCTCTTAGCGTTTTATTAACTAATTTGTATAGAAAACATTCTTTCGAATAGAGCATAATGCAACACTGACGAATTTCGTCTGTACCCCTATTTTTCACACTTCGCAATTGCTCAGCAATCCATTGTGAGTCATCCTTTTTGTCTAGTCGATTTCCTTCGAAGATGATTCCTTTTGCTGCTTGTTCTACTTTGTCGCGATTAGAAGTTTCTTTATTTCTTTCTTGCCAAAAGAATAAAAATGTTTTTCTTTTTGTCTCCCACTCCTTGATAAAGCCATGATAACCACCGTCCAAACGATCCTCATTGAATGGTTTCTTCAATGGTTCAGGAAAAAAAAACCTCTCTTCTCGTAAACATTCATTGTCATTTGTAGTAATTAGCATTCGTTTGATTTGTCTTTGTTTATTTTGATCATCATTACTGATTTGAACCGAGCGCTTCAAGTCAATCCAATAATTATCTAATTTAACTAAATTTGTGTTCGTCGTTTCGTTAAATGCGTGTTCAATGATGTCAGACTGAATATCGGAATATCTCGTCCATTCTTCCTTTTCATTGCTCAACCAGGGATTCGAATTCGATTTCCAGTACCATTGAGCTCGTGCGTGATCAGGTCCTTCCATCAATGGATTTGCCATTGATTAGACTAATCTGACGTAATTCTTATTGGAAATGTGTGCTAAAGTAGGAGAATCCATTAAAATGCAAGAAAGAGCCTTGTGGAACTGTTGAAACACTTGTGCACACTTATGATGATCTGTCTGCGTACTTCTGTTTAGATGATATCCTCCTGAGGGCGAGTTTGAGTAGATAAGGAAGGCTGATAGCTGATTTTTGCGTCACTTATGAAACTACGAGATAAGAGTATTAAGCCGAGCAGCTAGGTCAAATGTAAACGGTGATTTGGATAGTTCTTTAAGTTCTCTGTCAAATGCAGTATATGTTTATCTTCTGCTTTATGCATTTTTCGAAACATGCATTTAGTCAAACTGGAAAATCATGGTAACATAACTACCTCACCATCATTTCTGTTTTCCGGAGGAAACCAAAGCAAACTCTCCCACCTTCTCGAAAACTATGAGTATAGAGCAAAATCATACGTATTCTGAAATCCGACCCCTCCCCTCCCTTGTCAAAAAAATATGAAGAAAAAATATTATTACGATTAATGGGCAATAATTTAACATACAGTACCGATAGACGACGGAAAAACACCAAGAGAGAATAAACGAGGAAAATATTTTTAAAAAGAAATAACAATGAAGCACGAGAAAGATTTCAACATGTGAGCAAGTAAAATGCGATAGTTTCACATTAAGGCAGAATTTTGTGTAATACAACAGAATTATTCAAGAGAAAATTCTGCACTTTCTGGGCTAATTACCAGAAGTCGGGACAGCTCTGAGAATTCTTGGATAATTCTGTTCTATTTCACAAAACTCTCGTTCAATTCGCAAACGTCTGAAGATATGTTGGAAAATTCTTATACGATTTCGCAAAATTCTGCCTATTCTGCAAAATTCTGCACGTTTTGCATAGCTTGCACAATACGCATCCGCCGAGAATTTGATGTTCTAAGAAATGAATTCGCATTCGCCGGGAATTCGTTATAATGCATGGTGGTGTATATGATATATTTGCGAATTCTCTACAATTGTCTG